CTTTCGGGTTTTGGGTTTGGGGGTTCCTTGTGCAGCCTTTGCGATTTGTTGCATGGGGCTGGGGTTCGGGGTTCAGGCCTTGAGGTCTCCGGGTTGGTTTGGGGTATGGAATGGAACAACGCAGACATGGAAAAAACACGCAGCAGCATCTAGTAATGAAGAGTATACTATCCGACAAACGGGCTTGCGCGTAACTACGCCGAAGTATCGCAGCATTTATCACGGCACCTATAAAAATCCAGCTACGGCTTGCCGCAAGGAGCAAGGGCGGGTTGGGGTTCGAGGTTGCCACGCGTTTGTACCTTCCACGAAGATTCCGAAGAAGTCTTCGCCACAACCCGGCACCATCTTTAGGGTCTTAGATAGGCCCACCCACCACCATGGCGGATTCTACAACCCTAAACAGGGGTTTCGGGTTTAGGGCTTAAGGGAGTCCCCCGAAACTTCCTTGAAGCTTTGATCCGAACTTGCAGGTATGCGCTGCTGGCTTGTGCCGTGGGCGCCACGGAGGCCCAGACACCCAGAAGCGGTCGAAGTCATCCCCGTGGGGCTCGAGGGTCCCTGAACCTGAAACTTACACTGGTATCTAAGCCTCGAAGCCTTAAAATCCTAGACCTGAGAATCTTAACATCCTAAATGTAAACCCTGAACCCCGTAATCCGCAGCAACACCATAATCCAGACCTCAACCCGTATAGTAACCGTAGCACCCTTACTAAGCCTATAGGATGCACTTAATCCCTAAAGCCCGAATGCCCCCAAAGCCCCGCGTTCCCAGGCAGATCTTCCGCAGCCGTCTGCGTGGCGCGCCTTGTTTCTGGCACTGGACCAGGCGAGGGTTTAGGGTTTAGGGTTGTGAGAGCTTGTCTGGAAGAGCGACACTATGAAGAGCGAAACTGGTAATGAACATAAGGACAATACAGCAGTATTGATTTGAACCGGAGTCCCTGTGTAGCTATCGTAGACACTATTCAATGTATCTAAACCCACATACCTGCAAGTAAAGTCAACAAGGGCCAAATACAAAACCTTTCAGCGCCCCCGCGGCCCTATACACACCGCCTAAAGTCCTTGGGTTGTGCGTCCGGTGGTGGGAGCCTGAAGCAACCCGTCGCCAGGATACTGATGGACTTCTCAGTGCGCCCGCCATGCTTTCGGGTCTCTTTTGGTGCCTGAAGCCATATAATATAATATATATAATATAATATCATATAATATNNTAATATAATATAATATAACATAGTATAATGTAATATAATATAATATAATATAATATAATATAATATAATATAATGTAATATAATGTAATATAATATAACATAATATAATATAATATAATATAATGTAATATAATATAATATAATATGATATAATATAATATAAAATAATATAACATAATATAATATAATATAATATAATATAATATAATATAATATAATATAGTACAATATAAAAGAATAGAATAGAATATAATATAATATATATATATATATGCAACCGCTCCCTCCGGTACCTACCTTCTTTGCTGTTTTGTGCGCTGTTTGGATATATACATGTGTCGAGCGTATGCCTGTGTATGTGTGAATGTGTCCCTCATACATACATACATACAGACATACATTCATACATACATACATACATACGTACGTACATATATACATATATGCATACATGCATACACAGACGAGGACATGTGCAGCAGAGGCAGTGCATTGACATGTTTGCACCATCAATTCCCTAGATTCCCAAACCCCTGGCCCTACGTGCTGGAATTAGGGAATTCCTTAGACCTTAAGCTCCTTAAATGTCATGCATTCCCCAACTTCCCTAAGCTTCAGCCCTTTGTACATTTTGAAGGGTTCCCTAGATCCTTTTATGCCCTGCATTCCCTAACCTCTAGCACCATGTACTCCCTTCCTTATACTCCTTGAATGCCCTTTAGGGAATGTAGCATGGATTCCTTAGACCCATACATGGGGCAAGGATCATGGAATCTACTTGGGGACTTTAGGGAATGAACCAAATCCTCAAATGCAAGTGCAGGACATGGGGGCAGAGATTGGGGAATACAGGGAGCGCAAGACATCCTTAAACCCAAGGCATGAGGGCAGGGATTATGGAACTTAGGAAATTTCGGGGAATTAGGGAATCCAAGCAGTGGGGAACTGTCAGGAATTTAGGGAACTATTGAGATTAAATACAAGAATACATAGAGGACTGTAAGACATATCGTGCATAATTCACTGCGAAACTATAGATACCCTGCTTTCGAAGCCTCATTGCATTAAAGGAACACCCAAATCTTGGATTCCTGAATCCTTTTTCGAACTTGTAAAGGGGTTCTTACATCATGGGTTCTTGCGTTCCCGTACATAATCCCCCTACTAAATAAGCTTCGAAGTATGACTCAAAGTCTCAAAGTCTCCGATCCGGCATGCCTGATTTTCTTTAAATAAATGCCTTACAGGCATTCTATGGGGTACTCTATATGGCTTATCTGGTATTCCACAAAGAAAACATTGTAGAAAGCTTGCTGTAATATGTATATGTAGGGGTGTTATATGAAGGATCCTTATATAAGTTTAAACCCTTACTAGATAGGCTTCGATGTATTCCAAGAACTCCTAGATTCAAGATTCCTCCAGCTTTCCTTCACATAAGTTTCCTCCTCAGTAAGCTACAATTCAGCTGGGGAATTCTCAAATGTTGGGCTTGGGCTCTTCCTGATTGTCCTTATATGTATCCTGTGTTTATGAGGTGTTCTATAGGGTATTAGACAAGTTTGAGCGTGACGATATAATTTGCAGAAGGTATTTACAAGGTATTGTATATAGTGTTGCGGATGGTCATCTACATTGTACGGTATATCCAGGGTAGTATGTATTCTATAATGCATTTTGTGTGGTATTTTGTGCGGTATTCTATAGGGTATTCCAAAAGTTATTGTGTAAGGTATTCGATACGCGGTATTCCTCAAAGGAAATGATAAGGTATTGTGTAGGTTTCTAAAGGTCATGGCGTATTCAATACGGCATTAAAGCACTTCCGAATATCGGTATTCCATATGGAATCATTTAAGGTATGCAGAGGAGGTATTCTGAAGGGTATCCTTCAAGGAAGTTTATATCGTGTATTCCGTGTGGTGTTCTATACCGTATATTCAATATAAAGCGTTTGGGTGTATCATATATAGTTAATCGAAACGAGTGTCACAGGAAGCTACCTGGTGGCGTGACCCAAGATAGGGAGGAATGTTTGGGCGAATGCAATTGAAGCAGAGTCGGCCCGATTCACGTTGAAACGGGGGCCGGATTGAAGATTGAAGATTCCTGGAAGAAGTTCCCCAAGGATCTTCAATCGTCAATCCGAGGGCCGATTCAACTTGAGCCGGGCCGATTCAAGTTGAATCGGACCCGATATTGTGCAGCACGAGTTACAATGACGAGCAGCCCGGGAGGCCTGACTACTGTAATACGATGAACTTATATTACTCATAGGATTGTCCGTACACATAGGGCTTTTCGGGCAGAGACAAGGTTACTGACAGCATTGTCTGTGCACATAGGGCTTATCGGGCAGAGACAAGGCTTTTTGGGGCACCTCCCCACCCCCGGTACCAGTCCAAACCAGTACACGTGTGTTCCTTAAAGTTGATAAACAACAGAAAAGGTAGGTACCGGGGCGGGGGGTGTGCCATATATATATATATACATATATATACGCACACACATATTTATCGTTCTTGGTGGGACTGTTTGTCGCTTGAGACTTTCGATATGAGTTTTTAAGCCTGCTGGAATGATATGGCCGGTTGTTGTCCCAATTTTTGTTCCGCAAACAGTGCGTTTGGTCATATGAGCAGAAGCTGCAAGGGGGCACCAAACCAGGGTTTATTGACGTAGATAAGCTGTTGGTTGTGTATGTCAAACGATGAACATTCATGTTCCGCTTGCAAAGCCAGGTTTCGGCATTCGGCACCACTGGCAATCAGCTGTTTCCAGTCTACGATGCACGTCTGGCCTCTGCGTGGTCGGAGCAGCGGTACAACGATCTCATGTCTGCCCCGAAAGACTATGTGGATAAATAGTGGCATGTATATGCTGGCGTCCCACGCTGCTGCGTGCACCTGTTGCATGTCCTACTGCGCAATGGAATACTGGAACAAGAACTACATCTTAAGTTGGCACCCATTACCAAGGAAACGATCAAGTCATGCCCTCGTCCAGCCTCGTTGGAGATGCAGCGGCAGAGACCATTTGCTAGTTTTCCCGCCGAGTATTATCCTGGTGCTGGACGTGAAGGCCCAAAACTTGGTGAGGGAATGGATACCGGCCCAGTCCGGCATATCCGGCATGCCGGTGCAGGTGCCAAGTGGTGCAAGGGAGGAGACCAGGGTCTGAGGGAGATGCAGCCGCCAAACACATCGCTGAAAGATCGGAATCGCTTTGGTGGGCGGGGCTGAAAAAGGTTGAGCAGGTAAGTTGTGTTGGCTTTGGATGACCTCCAGTCGGACAGAGAAACAGGGCCTCAGGGAGTCCCGTGCCACATGCCAAGAGGGTTGGGTACGAAGCAATCAGATAAACCGAGTTTACTTGTCTGCTTGCTTGTTTCATAGAGCGGACACCAACAAGTGCAATCAGTCAACGATGCTCTTTCGATTGCAGGTGCATGCGTCTTGACTCCGCGCTTATTTACATTATGTTTATGATGGCCGGCTTGCGCGCACAGATGTGATGACGGACTCCGACGGACTTAGGGTTGTCGTCGATCGGGGCCAGCAGGCCTCAAACCATTTTCGAGGAGCCTTTTCTTAGCAAGCCCTGATGCGGGTGAGCTTTGGTCGCATGACTGTCTGCACGCATACAAGTCCGCCATTTTGTGAGACGTCAGAAGAGACTCTGTAATTCATGTGCCTTCTGGCAATCTTGAGCACTGGAACCGTAGGAGGAGTGAGATAGGTGTGAGCTATGTCCGAGCATTGGGCTGGGCGATGTTGGCCAGGCTGCGAAGCCTGTTTGCTGAAAAGGGTGCTGCCATTCGATTCTTTCACTTCGAGGCTTGGAGGGGACGGCTTGGGTTTACCGAAGGTCGAGATGAGAAGCACAAGCTGTCTTCTGCCGCCAGTCGTGTACCAATCCCAGCGGGCAGCTTATGGACTTTGCATTCCTCAAAGAGCAACTTGGTGCTTGCAACTCTCCCAAGAAATGAGGGAGTCTTGTTTTGTCGGTCTACCGCACCGCGGGAGTTCCTGAAGCCACTGCCAGCCCCGAAGCTCTGAGCGCACCAGTGCGACTTGACATCACAATGAGGCTGCGACATCTGGCGCCGCACTGTATCTTCGCATGTGACGCTCGTCCAAGCAGTTGTGCTGCTATACTTACTATAGTTGATCATTTTCAATCTTTCGAACTTGTAGGTGCCAACGTAGGGCACTTCGACTACATGACGGGCAACAGTTTTGTGTTTTCAAGGATAACACGTGGCTTTCTGGTGCTCTTTTCAACCCCTTCGAGCATGGTGCCGACATCGTTCTAGAAAGTATGACGAAGCCGCTTGGCTGGGTTTTTCAAGTGCATGGGAATGAAAGGAGAACGGAGGAACGACCGAACCGCGGCCAAAGAGGTACGTCTCAGCTGGCCGATGCATTGGGGGCTTCGTGGCCGGCGCCAGCTCCTTGATGGCTCCGGTTCTCTCCTGGATCAAAGCCTTTGGCGTGTTCGTAGGTGCTGACCATTGTGAGATCTTCTCGCAAGGCCCGAATGCGGTGAATTGTGGGAGCTTTGCACGCAAGGCTGTTTGTTCGTCTCCGCAGCAGGTTTACCTGTGTAAAACCTGCTGGGAGGCTTGCAGACGATAAACAGAAGGATGACGGCCACATCAGCCACGGCAGAAGCACTTGCTGCGTATCTGGAAGCGCATCCAGCTGTCAACCGGGTCATGTATCCAATGCTCTCATCGCACCCGACCTACCACCTCGCCCGGCTCTATTTGACTCGTGGAGGTGCGAGCTATGCAAATAGGTGAGATGCAGAGCAAGGTAGGGCACTGTCACTTTCTTTTCCAACGGCTACCTAGACTGAGGTCCGGGCTGCATCTGGTTTCATGTCAGCGCTAGCAAGAAGACCGTCATGAGTGTGCTGACCCGCAGTGACGGTCCGAGCTTCGCTGGCCCGGAATGCAAGACTTCCTTCGGTGCCGCCTCCTCCCGTGCCGCTTGACCGGCAGCCCCTCTTGCGATCATTTGATAGCACCCGCACCTAGTCCTTGCGCTTTGCAGAATGCCGAAGCTTTACCTCAGAGAACAGGGGCATGCTCGTTGAGCCAAGGTCGATCCCTGGCCGCAGCCTGCACCATCGGATGCTTGCGATTGGCCGCGCAAAGCTCAGGCACGGTACAGACGGCCCTTATTGGCACAGTGGCGGTAGCGTCATCGCACCGTCCTGAAAGGAGGGGCTGCCGGGGACTTGGATCCGCCTGGCAGTTGGCCACGCTGAAGCCTTGGAGAAGACGAAGGCGGCACATGTTTTTTTGGTGGGGTTGCAGGTCACTGCTTATATGAGGGTGAGTTTGTTAGCGACGAACTCCATGTTTCCAGGGCATCTGCCTGCTGGTCTCCCTCTTTGATCTGAAGCCAGTGACATTTAGTGACACTGCCCTGTTCAGCCTGCAGCCGTCCCTCCCTACCTGCCTCCCTCGCTCTGCAACGTGTCAGCCCGAGATTTCTATCTGTCTATCGATCCGTCTCTAATGCTAGTGTAAGCAAGGAACATCAAGGAACGCTTATGTTCATGATTGCGAATGGTTTCAACTTCGGTAGCAACTGAGCTGTTGAACTGGTATCTGCAATTAAACCCCATTTCCCCTGCGACTTGGTTGCCAGACTGCCGTGGAAGTCCTGCTCGCCCAGCTATGTCCATTGGCCACCGCGACGTCCACAGCGGCGACGCCAACCCCGAAGGAGGTACGACAGGAGGCACGGTGTTGGGAAATTCTGTTAGGATTCCTTGCTGAGAAAGCATGGCGCTGCCCATCTTCGAAGGCCTCATGTCATCCCAGGTGTGCGGCACAGGCCTGCGAGGCTGTTGAGTGGCTTAATTCTCCAGCACCTTCAGGACACTCTCCAACCAGAAGCTCACAGCATGCGCTGGAAGCGTCGCTCTTAAGACAAAGGACCCGCCCGGGACGGGGGATTCCCAAGAACTGGATTTGGGGTACCAGTACGCGTGCCAGCAGCAGCAGTTGAAGGAGGAGGCGGAGGAGGAGGAGGAGCAGCGGTGGTGGTGGTCGTCGTCGTAGTCGTCGTCGTAGTCGTCGTAGCAGTAGCCGTAGCCGTAGCCGTAGCCGTAGCCGCAGCCGCAGCCGCAGCCGCAGCCGCAGCCGCAGCCGCAGTCGCAGTCGCAGTCGTAGTAGTAGTCGAAGAAGAAGCAGTAGTAGTAGTCGTCGTCGTCGTAGTCGTAGTC